CGGTTGCATAATTATGGTCGGGGTTTTCCAAGCGTGGCCAATGTGACATATGTCATGACCGCTTTCGTTTGAGAGCTAATGGATCATTTCGAAGATGACGGAACAGCTGGAGTTGAGCTTAGATCTTCATGTCTTTGAGATTTAGCTTGTCAAATTTTGTGTCTGTTCAATGGTATTGTTGCCAGATATGGATTATTAAAGGAATAACGCACCCAATCTTACCCCATAATTCACTCACACTCAAGTGGTTCCTTTGAATTAATAGATCGTAAACTGGAAGCTCGGTGTAATCAGATCATTTGAATGTGAATTGATAAATAAATACTAGCCTAGGCTAAGTTATTTAAATCAGAGTCACCATATGAAGTCTCTTTCTGATTGGATAAATCAAATGACCCATTTACATTACTCACTTTCTTTTACCTTGGGTTCATTTGAATCAGTGAGTCCTTATCTGTAAACAAACTTTGATTGAATCATTTTAACCAATGAGTCATAAACTGGAGTTATTGAATTGTTCACTTTGGACGTATGTTGACCAAAATAATTTGAACCATTAAGTTCCTTAACTAATTCCCTTCCATAAGCAAAAAATGCTCAGTGCAAACCTTGAATCCATTTAACAGGTAAGAGAAAATAATTTAACTGAAGTTTGTTTATGAATCAGTCAACTACCACATTTCTGTAGGATATTTGCAGTTTGAAAATGGTCTCCAGGTGGATAACTACAGTCTCAGAAATAGAGGTATGCTAGTTGTCACTGGGTGGTACGTTTTCAAAAGTTACTAATTTGTACCTTAAAGGTCCACATTGGTACCTAAAAAGTACAAAAGTGTTCCTCTTAAAATTTGTAGGTACCAATATATACTTCTAAGGTACCAATATGGACCCTTCAAGTACAAATTTGTACCTTTTGAAAAGGTACCACGCCAGTGACAGCTCTCGTACCTTTATTTCTGAGAGTGTAGGTAATGGCAATATTTAATATCATTGTGTCTGCTACAGCCCTGGTACATCAGCAAAGTTATTTGATTATTACGCCAGAATTCCTATCCATATTGACCTGGAAAATAACAACTTTTGATTTTCCATCCATCACAGTACATGTAGCTGTAGAAAAGTCAACCTTTCAATTGGAAAATTATCGAAACTATAAATGACAGACAGACAGACAGACAGACAGACAGACTGATAGATCGACAGGCAGACAGACAGACAGAGAAGCGAATGACACTTCATACATGCACACTGGATCTGTGCATCATAAAGTCATGTAAGTATAGGCCAATCAGATTGAATATTCTAGTGAGGGTGAAATAAATAAGGGTGAAACTTGCGTTTAACTACTTACATTTATGCAACTTAACCCTAACACTAATGCTAACATACATTAACCTTAACCCTACATCCAAAACCCTAATGCTGTGTTCACACCAGAAGCGGAAGGCACGTTAAGAGGGAGTGATTTACTTGTTAAGTCAATGCACACGGGCAAATAGACATCCTGCGGCCCGCGAATGACTTGAATGGCGCGGTGCGAATTATATGTTTTGCGCGATTGTCGCGAATCGCTCCAGTTCAAAAATCTGAACTTAAGTGGACATTCACGCCGCGTTAACCAATCAGGAGCTTGCTCTTGTGGGGGCATGATTATGGCATATCGCCTATTGTTGGTGTCCCGGGGGTAATCCTCCAGCCGACCCCGACAAGCCTGGGCTGGGCTCAGTCAGAAGCACAGCTGAAAGCCTCCCATCATCCAGGTTAAGTTTCTGAAGGAGTTTAAGAGCTCACAGAGCTGGATGCACCTCTGAAAGGATTTAGTGGACTCAGACACGGCTCTAAACGTATCAACATTGTTTTTCAGTCTTCACAAAGCACATAAACGCTGTTATTTTCTTCATAAAATCCATGTTAGCCATTTAGCAACGAAGCTAGAGTCACAGGGCAGACAGAAGCTCTGTTCATCACGCGAATCAGCGTCTGTTCTGATGTGAATTTGATACACGAATGAAGCGAGTAAACTCAAATGTTTAAGCGGCTATTTATGTGCGAATAGCATGATTTATCCGCACGTTCCGTGTCTGGTGTGAACACAGCATAACGTTAACACACATTAACCCTAACCCTACATCCAAAGCGCTTACCATAAAGCCTTACACAAAATAACTCTAGACCCTAAACTCTGAAACTAAATAACCCTAAACCCTAACACTAAATAACCCTTAACTCTAAACCCTAACCCCTAACACTAAATAACCTTAGACTTTATAACCTAAACTCTAAACACTAACACCGAATAACCCTAGCGCTAAATAACCCTACACTCTAAACCCTAAACCTTAACAGTAAAAAACCTAAACCCTTACACTAAATTACCTAAACCCTAACGCTAAATTACCCTAGGCCCTAAACCCTAAACCTTACCACTAAATAACCCTTAACCCTAAACCTTAACACTAAATAAACCTAAACCCTAACTCCTAAACCTTAACACGAAATGACCCTAGACTTTAAACCCTACCACTAAATTACACTAAACCCTAACCCTTACACCCTAACACTTAATAACCTTAGACTCTAAACCTCAAACGCTAAACTTTATCACTAAATATCCCTAACCCCTAAGCCCTCACACTAAATTACCTTAGACTCTAAACTCTAAACGCTAACACCGAATAACCCTAGACCCTAACGATAAATAACCCTAGACTCTAAACCCTATAACTAAATAACCCTAGACCCTAAACCCATACCCTTAAACCCTAACACTAAGTAACCTTAGAGTCTAAAACCTATACCCTAAATCTTAGCACCAAATAACCCTAAACGCTAACATTAAATAACCCTACACTCTAAACCCTTACACTAAATAACCTGAGACTTTAAACCCTAAAGCATACCGCTAAATTACCATAAACCGTAACCCCTAAAACTAAATAACCCCAGCTCTAAACCCTAAACACTAAATACTAACAACGAATAACCCTAAACCCTAATGCTAAATAACCCAAGACTCTAAACCCTAACACTAAATAACCCAAGACCCTAAAGCCTAAACCCTAACCCCTAAACCTAAATAACCTTCGACTCTAAACACTAAACACTGACACGGAATAACCCTTAAACCTAACAATAAATAACCCAAGACTCTAATCCCTTAACCCTAACACTAAATAACCATAACCCCCTAAACCTTAACACTAAATAACCTTAGACCCTAAAGCCTAAACTTTAACACTAAACACTAAATGCTAGCATCAAATAACCCTAGACTCTTAACCCTAACACTAAATAATAGGGATGTAACGGTATTGTAAATACCGTCATACCGCAATATTAAATTTTTTCGATATTACCGAAGTCGCATGACTCGGTAAAACTATAGGTCTTCTGAGAAAATTTGCTCAGGCGAATGAAGCGAACGGGAGGTAGCTGGAACTTCATTTCCCATCAGCCCCGGCGTGGCCATAATCCTTTGCGGTCTGTTGTCGCTACAGATCCAGTAATGCGGAAATGGAGTGTGCTGCTAGTAGCGGAGATGAAAAAAAGATGGAAATGATCGAACCTAAAGCGGGTGTTGTCGCCCGCGCGTGCTGAATAGCGGTGCTGTCGCGCGCGTTCTGATCAGCTGTGTTGTGGCGCGCGTATTGTAAAGCGCCGAGGGGGGGTTGAGCGCGCATACTCAAGAGAGGTGTTATCGCGCGCCTACTGAAGGGCTGGACTGGACGGAGGTTGTGTCGCGTCGCGGGGGCACTTTTGATCGTTTTGGAAGGGCATTTTCTATCCAAGACTAAAAAGGGCATGTGCACTGCACAGGTTGAGCCCTATGTGTGCACGTGCCTGCAAGTTGGGGAATACGACTAATAACAGTCATGGGGACTGCAGAAACACAGCACACTGTTCAGATTGATGCAGACATTGACTTGTACCGCAAAGAGACCTCTATCTATCTCACTCATGGTTTGTCCTCTCAAGTGGGGGAAAGACAATGCACAACGTTACCCCACTGCTGTCAACATGGGCCAAGTCATATCTCTCTGTCCCAGAATCCTCAGTCCCAAATGAGAGGGTTTTTTTCTGTTGCAGGGGACATTGTAAATACTCAGAGATACCAGCTTTTACCAGATTATAGTTATATGATAATTTTCCTTTAAACCCATCTCTATCTAAGTGAGTGATTAAATGTTAAATGTGATGAGTTTTTAACAATACTAAATTGAAACTTTATTTTTTTACATGGTTTAATAATTTTTTGTTATTAAAATTGAAGTTCCTGTTTCAAAGCTAACAGATAGATGGCTAATTTGTATGTCATTGACACTTTTGGCACTTTTTTGGGAGTATTTTCAAAAGTTTTTTTTTTCCTGTAAATGATTCAATAAATACCGTACCGTGACATTCATACCGAGGTATTACCGTACCGTGAAATTCTGATACCGTTACATCCCTACTAAATAACCATAGACACTAAACACTAAACAATAAACCCTAACAGCAAATAACCCTAAACCTTAACACTAAATAACACTAAACCCTAAACCTTATAAGCGCCCCCTGTAGGGTGATATAAAGATATAGTATTATAGATAAATAAACACACAGATAAAAAAAAAATGGTAAAAATGCTAATGATCTAATCTGACTCAATGATTTATGCTAAGCTAAGCTAAAAGTTCTTCCGCAAGACTCAGAGATCAGTTGAATGGATTCAAAAATGGGAAAGCTCAACTGTTTAGCTCTAGGGGACTTGTAAAATAAGACTATTTCCAAAAAAAATTATGTTTGTGTGTTCCTTTATTGTTGTTTTGTTTTGTCATTAGTCATGAGCAAGGCGTCCTGTCTCTGTTGTCTCAAGCTGATTTGCTTTTGTCACTGTAAAAACTGTGTTGTCTCCTCTTGTGCTTGACTGACTTGATTCTTTCCGTCGACTATCCTAATTACAAACCTGCTGGAACATGTTTTTTATGTGACTGTTTTTGTTCTTTTATGTTGTTTTTTAGGAGCTCTCTAGTTGTGGCTGGAACAAGAAGGAGAAGCACAGTTCAGCACCGAACGCAGTGGCCTTCACACGACGCTTCAACCAGGTACACAAACACTTATTTGTTGTCCCTCCATTAAAACAAGCTATTTAATGTATATCCAAAGAGGTTGAAATCCACAAAAACTAGACTTGCTATTAAGCTGTCTGGGTTACTTTAACAATACATTTATTTTTAAAGCTTTGGCAAGTGCAATTGGAGTATGAGGTGATGAGTGTGAGGAGTGTTAGTAGTAATTTGTCATTTTAATATTGAGCTTTTGTACCCTTTAACTGATCGTAAGTAGTTTGTCAAATAGCTGACCATCAGTAGTTTTCGTCATCTGCTGTTGCTTTGCTGATTTGTAGCCTGCTAGTAGTTTAATTAGTATTTTGGGTCTGATAAAAGGGCCTGTACTATCAGATTTACAGAAAATCAGTCTTGCAATAAATTGATTAGTTTCTTTTCAATTAAAAATGTTTACTGAATTCGCAAGCAGCATAACAATAATTTCCAGTCACAAAACTGTTACTCTGTTTTCCTCATTTTCCTATCTTGTAATGTAACCTAAAATAGTCCCATAAAGGTGGAGCAAACCATTACAAACAAAGGAGTAGGAGTGAAATCAACAAATGTACACAACTAAACAGATCAACATGTGTAAACTGTATTAATAAAATATATTAAATTACATTATGGCTTACAGGGGTTATAGAGCCCATTGATTCAATCTTTTAAATTGTACTCTGATATCTTCATACTAGGTACAGTGCTGAGCATACATGAGTACAACCCCCACAAATTTCTCATTTAAATTAATATTTTCTATAGGAAGATTTAGAATATTTGTGCATATACATTAGTTTAGTCAGTACAAAAGCCAAATCTGGAGCTTATCTAACAAAATACCTACATATAATAAATACATAATGGTTCTAAGATTAGCAGCCCAAATGTATGTTAGGGAAAAATATTAAATAAACTTTTCAAAAATCAAGAGAAACAAAAAAATATATACAATTTTGTTTTTTGCAATATTTCGCATTAATGTAAATGTATTATCTTTCCATTTCTAAAGATGTTCTGTGAATAAAATATTATTTTAATAAATATATCTGTTTAATAAATATGTTTTGTTCGAACACACCTATATATATATTACCCATAATCATTGAGAAATGGATACAAATGAAAAGTTCAGATGTACAAATCTCTAAATGCCATCTGACTGTTTCTTTTAAAATGAGCATTTTTATCCGGTTAAGTAATATCAACTTCATGGCATAGAATAAGCCCTTTTTGTTGGCTTTAATGTGAAATAATTAAACAAAAACAATAGGGGCTAAGAAAAATTTCAATTTTCAATGAAAATTTCAGACTGCACTTAAGAGTTTTTGCATCTGAACTCTTCAATTATTCATTTTAAAAATGGGGTGCACTCACATATGCTGAGCACTGCATGTGGCTTAGGCAAATTTAAAAATACCCCAGAAACTGTTTTATTTGCTTATTATAACCACAGTAATTACCCATAGAATGAAAAGCTCAGTTTTGACCGTATTTGGAACAGTTATTTTTATTAATAACAGTGATTAATATTAATAAATCAGATGCCTTGTTAAGAATCATTTCAACTGAAGAAGTGGCGAGGTTTATTTTAGCTAGAAGGAATGACTGAGTTATTTTTATTTGAACAGAACAACCTAGTTTGCTCATCAGTTGTGTTTTGCATTAAATGTAGGCTAAAAAAGGTGACGGGTGTGTCTTTCAAAGCTTTGTATGTAAAAACACAAAGAGGACTTAATATCAACCTCTGGATATACAAATTAATTTAATAGTTTGTTGCCGTCCTTTCACTTATGAAAAATCACAGTAAGAGCTAAGTGATATGACTTGATGCATAAATGTTGCCTCATCATTGTAAATACATGTGGCAAATTTCACAAAATTCACATTAAACTAACAAAAAATACATTTAAACACACCATTTGCATCTTTTTTGGGGGTTGTTGAATACATTTAGAATCTGTATATTATGCATTTTACTTTCTAAAGAGCTGTGGTCATGGTTGGAATTTAAACTGCTCCTTTTTAGTCTCCCTGTCTTTCTCGTTTTAAAATGAGAGTCCCACATACATAGTATTTTTAATACAGGTTTAGATCATTTTATTTCCTCGTTTTTTCTTAATTTTTAATTTATTTTTATTTTTTTATTTATCTCATTAAAATCTCAATAAAATATCTTACTTTAATAGCTTAAATGAATTACTGTTAATGTTGCAATCTCACTAGTAAATTTTGTGGCCAATCCACCTGTGGAGTGCATATTATTGATCCTGTGTTGATCTTATGAGTTTTTACACTCACTGGATTTACATGAGAACAAGGAAATGTGGTGTTTGTGGCTTATGGGATGTCATTTATGTGTACTGAACTCATACTATTCAGCTATGCCTAGATATATTCATATTTTCATTCTATGGCACCTTTAATATTAATCGCCATTGATTGATTAAGTGTCATTAGTTCACTCCAAAAGTGAAAATTAGCCAATGATTTATTCACACATCTTAGGTGTACATTACTTTATACTTTCAGTCACATCCAGTCTGATTTATATATAAAAATGTCCTGGCTCTTTCCATCTTCTCAATAGCGATGTTTCTCCTCAACGGTCCAAAATAAAAGCGCAATAAAACAAATCCCTCCATAATAAAAATGTGCTTCTCATTGCTCCCGGGGGTCGAATAAAGGTCTCCTCTTGCAAAATAGATGTTTATTTATTAATTTATTTGTAGAAATATCCATATGTAAGACTTTATAAACAGTTTTGTGAATTTTCTTCATCATACAAGCATTTAAAAGAGACTCCTTATGAGCAGATGACATATTCACAACTCTAAAATAGAAATTGATCAACAGCTAATTCTCTGACTTTGTCTAAATTCAAGTGAAAAATGCAAAGTCAGAGAAGCATAACAAATTCCAATCAATAGATTTAAAATGATGTATTTTTTTCCAAACTGAAAGGATGCTGGAATAGGTGTGTGGTCAGCGGATTTACAACCACAGGAAACATGTTTTGCTCTGGTGGTTTTGTGCATTTGTTTTAAATTAAAGAAACTTTAAATCTTAAAAAGGTGAAAATAAGGTTTCTAAGGGGTTTATGTGTTGGGATTGAAAGGGATTTGGCATTGAGGTGTAGAATGGTGCCGGTCCAGGTAAGTGTTCGGGTCACGCAGGGTGAAGGCCTCCACTTCCCGAGGGCTGGCATTTGTGTAACGCGCTGGCTGCGCATTAGAGCCGATGTTTGCCAATGAGTATGTTTCTGGCCTAAATCACTTGACTTTATTGCCTTGGATTGGCTAGGTTGGAAAATTACGTCGCCGTCAAGTTTCTTGTTAACTGAATTTGGCCGCTAAGACAACACCCCAAGTGTAAATGTGACTTTATGTCAAAGTTACTTCAGGTCAACGAGACAATTGGGAAACTGAACTCGCACTGATATTTCGGATCTAATGCTAGCAGCTAATGCAGATCTTCGAAAGCTTATCACTGCACTGAGGTATGCGCAGAGATGTTGGATGCACATTTGGGTTGAGATACACTGATCTGATCCAATTGGCCTTTGAAGAAGTATGTGGCCCCCTCTGAGTGTGTAAGAGTTTCTGTGTGCATTGGTTGCTTCATAATTGGCAGAGAGCTGGCGGTGTGTAACCAGAGGGGAATGATCGTGGAATAAAGCTTTTTTTTTTTTTCACTCTTTAGAATCTCTACTTTAATAGAACGCTCCACTTTTTTTTGGAAACAGTTGAGTATATATGTGTATATATATATATATATATATATATGTATGTATATATATGTTAATGTATAGTTATGTATGTAATTCAATTACAAATATATATATATATATATATATATATATATATATATATATATATATATATATGTATATATATATGTATATATATATGTCTAAAAAATGTCTAAATGTCTAAAAAAAAAAAAAAAACGACAGAAAATTAAATACAGCCATTCAGTAGCACAAAATAGTGCACTTACTGCACTCCAGCGAAATGGTAATGTTTATTATCCACTTAATACATATTAAACCTCTTTAACATTATTAAATGTACATGCTAAATCACTGATATGCGTTGACTTGCACTGAGTCGAAGTTCTAAAGTCAATGACCTATGCTAAGCTAAGCTAAAAGTGTTCCCTCTAGTTCTGGAGATCTGCTGAATGGATAAAGTTGTAAACTATCTTGTTTAATTCTAGGGGACATGTTAAATACACCTATTTTCCAAAATAGTGAAGTGTTCCTTTAAGACTTAAATGTGCGCACACTCACTCAGACAGACTTTCTCCCTTGACAATATGGCCAGCGCTCGGTAATAAATATGAGAATATCAGTGAGGAATTTGTGTTGTGTGGAAACTTTCTCAATATACATCCTCGAAACGGCTAAAACGGCTGTTCGGGAAGCCACACACACTCGCCTGCCAACACAAATGTACTTTCTGAAGGATGATGCTTGGAAAGGCGAGAACAAAACGTTCTAAACAGACATGTAATGCTAGCTAGCTAATGTCACCTCACAGCAAAAAAACAGCGTGTGCTCATTTGTGAGATTATTTTTTACTATGTGTTGCAAGTTTAGAGAGGTGTGTGTTTGATTAACACCAGTAGTTTTGTTATTGTTCAGTTGTAAGCTGACCATCTTTGTCATGTTTTATTTTAGTTGGTTATGCACTGTATATGTAAACGATATCATTCAGTAGCTGGTTAAGATTACTAAATAAAATAATTCTCCATATTTATTCATTCTGGAATCCTATGCACCCCGTTTTATACAAACATTTTAAAACCAGTGAATAAGTCAGTTGTGCACAAATGTGTGTATTCATATACGTAGCATGCACTATAATGGGCTCAATGCAGGACACACTTATAGTATGCACACACACATACACACAGACCCTACAGATTAGACCCAGACAGATGTTAAAAATTAGCCACATATGGGTATCTTTTGCCAAGGGATATTTGCATAAGGTTTG